TATTCTTAGTTGCACTCAGAAGAAAAGGCAAGGCATACTTCCATTGTGTACGTTTTAAAATCGAGATTGATTGATGTAACTATTATTAACCTAACTTACAGTAGGATAATATGCACACATCTTGCTCTGCATACTACAGTGGGGTAGTTCTAGGACTTCAGGGTCCAGCTTCATATCCTTAAGCACATTTTAAAATTTCCTACAGTCCTTTAAAAATCTGTATCACTTCATTCCCTTTCATGGCTATAGAATTAGTGTGTAGAACTAGCAGCTTGGCGGCTGTTTAATGTTCTCAGTATTAGGAAATATCTTTTGACAGCTACCATCACTCCTGATATTCCTCCTATATGATATAATATATAAATAAAGAAGACAATGTGTCTAGGTGCCTAGCAACAGAAAACATGTGACGTAATTCCCTTGCTGTGACTGACTGATGTTTGTGGATAATTCATCATGTGCGAAAGCACAAGGGAAAGGCAGGTTGGTATTGGGTGCTGACGTGATGCACAGAAGGCAGGCCTCTTGCTGTGATCGACAGGCACCATTCACACCTGGCAATGACGGGAGTCTGTCCTGTAAACAGTGAACTGGAATTTCACATTATCCTGAGAGGTTGGGCCCCTCAAGGCCACCCACAACTTGTCCGCAGCTTGCCCTTGTTACAGGTGACCTTTCTACTGTATTTTTCGGACAAAATAAAATAACCACTTTCAGTTAGGTATTGTGTGCAGGTAAATTATTGCATTATTCACTCTTATAAGTGTGATGTAATAAATATTGTCTGATGACTCTTGACTGAATAAGCAGTAAGAAAATGACTAGATTTAAAATAAATAGCTATAATTATAATGTAATATTATGTAAAAATAATGTCATATTTTAATATTCAAAAGGCCAGTAAATATTGAGAATCACACATAGTTATACGTTTTTTGATGAAATTACCTTAGTTATCTGTGATTTCTTAATTAATTTAAGTTCTTATGTTCTTTTAGGTCTAAGTCAGATATAAAACTAAAATGTTTGTAATGATAAAGCATTTCCACAAGTGACATGATTTTCAATCCCAGGGGTCTTATGACAAGTTAAATCTCCACAATATAATGCATGAACAAGCTCCAGAAATGAGTGTCTAGTTTTTGTCTTCTTCCTGTCTTTGTGTGTTGATTCCATTACTTTTATGATACAGGTTCACTTGCTGCATTGACGAAGCCCAATATGATGTTGCCTTTATTTTTAGCAACTTTTCAAAATATAAGATTGAAACTTTTGAGTGCCCGTGAAGCTGAACTCAAGAGACAACATGTCAAGAAACTTATGAAACTGTCAGCGTTCCCCTGGTCGGCTTAAAATAACTCTATGTCCGTTGACACTCTCTCTTAAATCCCTTGTTTGGTTTCCAGAAACTCCCACGCCAAGCAGGATCTTACATGTGTGTGTATGCAGAATACTTGTGATTTTATCCTTCACTTTTACTCCCAGGTGCACAATCAGTTTTTTCCCAGTATATTTTCCATCTTAACTGGTGTGGTTCTTATTGCTAAAATGTCATGACAGCAGTAAGAACAGTGAGAAAATCAGGCTGTAGATGACAGTTCCAGATATGTACATACTGTGAATTATTTATATTGTTATTGCCACATCAAACTCACCCAAGACAGTAGATCAGACCATCTCAGACATACCCTCCAAACAAATCACAGATGACTCCATTACATCTCCCAGGAAAATCCTTTAAAAATTAGGTTTCTATAGGACATTGTTAACCGTGACAGGAAATGGATGTTACCTTACAATAGTGGAGTCATTCAGTTAATAGCAAACTATTACTGTATTATGCAAGTGTGGTGCAAAAATCAGTGGCCTGAATTTCAGCATTTTCGCTAGATTTCACTAGGAGAACGAGAGACTGGAGTGAACTGTTTCACACACACATTACAGTGAACCCTGTGACTGCATGGAAGGACAATGTAAATTATACACAGAAGAGTCTGATCACAGTCCAGTTCATCTAAGAGCATGGTCACAATATTTTTTTAGTCATTTTACCTGTATTTCCATAGGGTGAGAATTCTTAAAATGGGACACTGATCATTATCACTTGGGACACAGTGTGTTTGCCATCTAATCGGATGTCAATCAAATTAACTTTAACAATTGTCCACTTTAAGGAGCTTGGAGTTTACACCTGTGCATGCATATATTATGTTTATTACTTATAGTTAAAGTTAGGGCTTGGTAGGGGTTAAGGATGTCATACGTGAGATTAGGGTTATGCCCATAGAAATGAATGTCCCCACATATATATGAAAACAACTTGTGTGTGGGTTTGTGCACACACACATACCATTTCCACTGTAAATAAAACCTTTTACATGTAATCCCCTAAATTTAGCCTATTAAGTTAGTATTGGGCTAATTATAAGCAGCAGGTTATTTATTGTAGTTGTTCCATTTAGCCATTTTCGATATCCACCTGTTTAAATTTTTTAAAATAATTTAATAGTCATAGTAATAAGTACACAATAAATCAATCGCATTTTTTATTATATTTATCGCATAAAACAGTTTATCAATTAAAATGATACTATTTAAATGACAGTGCAACTATAGCTCATGGTGGAAGATCAGCAGTTAGTTGCCTTTAAAATTTACGTTGAAAGTTGTATGTAATCAAGTTATGCGGATTCAGTGAAAAATCATATCCTATAATCACATTATAAATAATTATCCATGTTTTTTGCGTCATTGTGTAATAATGACCATGTCCGATATGCTGCGATACTTTTTATATATAACGTTGGGAGCCACTAGTAGCCTTAGTATTCCTTCATTTCCGACACACACACACACACACACACACATATATATATACACACACACA